AGAAATAGGAATTAAATTAATTTACTTTTCAAGTTTTCTTGTAAAAATCGATATTACTTTCTCCAAGTACAAATTTAGTACCTACCTAAAATAAGTACTAATTATGTTATATCTTGTAATATTGTAATTCAAATTTCACATTACTATAAAGTTTTAAAATTTCCTACTTCGGTATGGTCAGATAAAAATTGAATATATTATATTAATAAAAACTGTCAAAGTATAACTTCTACAAATCTGTATTTCAAATAATAAGAATACATCTAAATATAACCAATATTGTTAAAACAAAAGCACACATTCTTTATAATTCCAAAATACCATAGAGTTCCCAGACCTCAGTCGAAGCATTGGTTTATCTAGGTATAAACCCTTTGCGCGAAGAGTAACACTTGCCAGAGACACGGGGGTACCACTTGATTTGCATCCACGAGCGTGACACAATTCTTTAACAATTGAAGCCCTTGGTGTAAAATGGATCCAAGCCACAATTTGTCGTGAAGTGACTGTTTTAGCTCAAAACATTTGTTAACGAGGATTTTACTAGCCATATATAAATTATTTTACCTCTAATCCGAAAGATGTGCTATTTTTCGTAATATTTATATTTAAATAATTTTTTAATTATATTTGAAAGATTTAAAACAAATTAAAAATGTAATTTCCCAAAACTTACTTAATATGGCATGTGACCAACCTTATTACGCCAAGGTTTTCAATTTTTTCAATAATAAAAAAATTGTTTAATCCGGGCCCGACTTTTCCCTTGAATCTAACAGAGATAGCACCATTCCGTCTTGCTTGGTTCTCGACCGCCAGATCAAAGACGCCGACACGGAGTTGTGGAGCTGTATTGTATAAGCTGTGGTGTTACCTTGTGATATACCTATACCTCTACTTGTGTGATATTGGTAGGTACTTGATTTCAAAAGCTTTTTAATAATAAATTTATACAATTTTTTTATTTTGTTTTATTCAGATTTTACCATATCCTCAATATACTATTTTACATATTGTGTCCAAGAATGTAAAAATATTTATTTTAAATTTTTCAAAAAAGTAATTTTTCATCATTTCTCAACGTTAATCGTATTTATTTAAAAAGCAAAAGAAATTATGAAGAATTACTTTTTTTTTAATTTAAAATAAAATACATATTTTTACAAGTATTGTTAAGTTCATTCGTGGACACACTGTATAATGCTGTAGAATGAATTCACATTATAACATCTATAAAACGTTTCAAAGCAACTTTCGGGGAAAGTACCGTAAAAGTGCTAGTGTAATGTTTTCCGAACTTCACTTTGTAACCTCTATGAGATGTGCTATGCAAGTCTTGCCGTTGCGGACATTCGGTGGTTGCATGGATATTAGGGTAACATTAAAAATACATTGCATGTGAGCTTAAAGAGCCTAAAATTGCAGAGCTTATTAACGTAGATGGGATGTTTTTGTGCTAGCTGGACAAGAACCTGCCACATTCGCTGGAAGAATTAGAAAATAAAATAGGAATTGCTGTTTAAGAAATAACATCTGAGGTTTATCAAAATTCATTAAGATCATTTTTTAATAGACGATGATATTGTCAGTCAGTTGGAGCCTTTCACTTCGAACGAAAGATTTATGTAGGTACTTCGATTGATGTAAAGTAATTATTTTTTATAAAATAAATGTTTACTTTTTATTTTATTATAAACTCGGGTGTCTAACTCTATATTATTGGATTCAGAAAAAAATATCTATCTGAAAAACATATAAATATAGGGTGATTCACTTAAAATTTCATCCGATAACGTCATATCTTGATAAATATAACAGGTGATGAAAATCCCCAGGCGTCATTAAATAGTGCACAAAATATACAAAAAACTTTATTCTGGTTAATTTTCAATACAATCCATAATTGAACCACAAATCAGCCCAGACAGACCAAATCCTTTGGATATATATCTACTGGACATCCCAAATCCAAAGGTAATGGTAAACTTTTTTGGAAAAAAATTAAAGAATTTAATATATCTGCGAAATATCCCATGAATTCGATTCCTATTAACCTTAATAAGCCAGATGAAATTAATAATCATTTTTTAGGTCCGTCGGCACGTAATAAAGAACCAGACACTGATCTAATTGAATTCTATAGTAATAACCTAAAGGATAATTTATGTTCTATAATTTCATTCAGTGTTGTCAGTACTCCAGTCGTATATAAGTATTTGGTCGAAATAAAGTCTGTAGCTTCGGGAGCGGATCAGTTAAATATTCACATGCTACTTCTTTGCTGTCCTGAAATTTTACCTATAATTACACATATCATAAACGTTTGCCTCACCGATTGCATCTTTCCGGAATCTTGGAAGCTATCAAAAGTCTTTCCCTTGCCCAAGAAAAAGAACGTTACTAGTGTGAACGATTTGCGTCCCATCTCTATCCTACCAGTGTTATCAAAAGTGATTGAAAAAATCATGAAATTTCAATTAAATATTCATTTAAAAAATAATCAAATACTTCCACTGCGACAGTCAGGTTTTCGTTCTGGCTATAGTTGTGCTACAGCTTTACTGGATGTCACTGATGATCTCTTCAGGGATATTGATGTCAAAAAAACGGCAGCACTTGTTATGCTAGATTATTCCAAAGCATTTGATACTATTAATCATAAAATTTTACTCTCAATATTACATTTTATTGGTTGCTCTAATGATGTTATCAGACTTTTTAATAGCTACCTGTATAACAGGAAACAATTTGTGGTTACTGATGCAGGTTCATCAAATACTAAGTAGATTTCCTGTGGAGTTCCTCAGGGATCAATACTTGGGCCATTATTATTTTCACTATATACCTCCAACTTTGAGAATAGCATTAGGAATGGTAAGCCATTTTTTTATGCTGACGATACTCAAGTTAAATTTTCTTTTAATCATAATGATTCCTTAGAAGCTAATAATCATATTAATGAAGATCTTGACAGACTAGTTAAACTTTCAAATATTCATCAACTTAATATTAATCCAGCTAAGAGTGTAGTAATGTTATTTGGTAAATACCGACATCAACTACAAAATGAAATGCAGATTCTAGTTGATGGGAATATTTTATCATTTTCCACATCTGCTCGCAATTTAGGTTTAGTAATTGATAATGACTTGAGGTTTAAACTTCACGCTAACAAGTGCATCCAAACAGCATACATGAATTTAAAAATGCTTTACCCACATCGACATGTTCTTCCAACTACAACAAAATTGTTATTAACAGATTCCCTGGTTCTGAGTAATTTTAACTTTTGTGATTCAGTTTATGGGCCCTGTTTAGATAACGCAGACATAATTAGAATTCAGAGAGTACAGAAATCTTGTTTAAGATTTTCTTATGGAATACGGAAATTTGATAGAGTCTCTCATAAACTCAAGGATTCAAACTGGCTAGATATGCAATCCAGACGAAACTTACACTCGGCTAATTTGTTTCATTCTGTTATTTTACATAAATCCCCTCCATATCTTTTTAATAAAATAATGTATCGTTCTGATGTTCATAACCTCAATCTACGTTTTTGTGGTCGTATCTCACCTCCAATACATAATACTGCTATTTTCAGACGGTCTTTCACTTATAATATTTATGCAATGTACAAGGTTATCCCACAACATTTTAAAGAAATGTCTGTAAGTAAATTTAAAAAATTTTACAAAAAGTTTCTTCTTAACACAGCAGAGTGATAGCTACTTTTTAGAATGTTTATACTTTTTTTTCTCACTATCATTTGTGTTTATTTTTATATTGTTTTTTGTACGATGTCCTGTGGCGTTGGTAATACTCAGGGCTGGTGCTTTGATCAGTATCCACTGTTCACCAGTCCTTTTTGCAGCCTTCTTTGGCACTTTTTTTCTGAATATTTTTATATGTATAAAAAACTGGAAGTTGCAAATAAAGTTTATTATTATATTATTATTATCCCAATATCCACTGAATGTCCAGTCTATGGTGGATATCTATTTTATATCCATGAGATGTAATTAATAGACATGCAAATGTTCATAAATAATAGTAATTATATAGCAAATCATTAAAAAATTACCCCATTGTGCTCGCCATTGTGGCTAATAGTACCGTTCAGATATTTAAAATTAATTTTTTAAGATGTATTCAATATCCCATGGACATCCACTAAATATATCAAAGTCTAGGCGCGATCGCAAACCATGGTGGATATCCAATAGATTTAATTTTTGATTTTGCTTACTAATTGTAAGTATAGATGGCGATATCACTTTCGCTCGTTGACTATCTACTCATGCTCAACCCGCCGTAATTGAGTTCGATCAAAATTGGTATCGCAATCAGACTTCATTAAAGACTGGAGTCGAGAATTTCCATTTATTGCTGAAGAGTCCTAATACTCCTAATAAGGACGACTTTCTTATTAGTGGGCAAAATCAAAGGCAGAGTGTTGAAAATATTTTTTTATCTCTGCTATTTTCTTTCAAAGTTATTCAATAATCATTGGTTACTTATGAACTTCTACTAAAGATACCCATAAAATATTTTGCTGAATATCCGAATATCTTCTATATCCTGGGATATAGACGGGCATTTGGATATCCATATTAGATCCACTGGATATATTGGATATCCACAAAACATATTCTGTGGATATCTCTGGGATTTCTTGTATTGTCTGGGTCTGGAAGATACCCATTAGATATTTTGCTGGATATCCATAGGATATCTCCTATATTCTGGATATAGACGGACATTTGGATATCCATATTAGATCCACGGGATATTTCTAATATCCTGTGGATATATTGGATATCCACAAAATATATTCTATGGATATCTCTAGGATTTGGTATGTTGTCTGGGAGGTGTTCCGCCAATTTTGCCCAGCCCTGCATACACAATGCCTTTCTTGGACGCATTGTGTTAAAATAATTAAGGATTATAGGTATAAATGAACTAGGTAATTTGATTACTTTTATAAAATATTTAGTTCCTAGATGAAATATAAAAATCATTTTTTTCTAAACTCTTTTAAATTTGAAAGTAACTTTTTCCTCATCAGGACCCAAAACATAAGCCTTGGGATCAATTTTCATTTTTCTTTGACTGTCATCTCTCAAATCAACTTGGTAATTTTGAATTATCCTAGCTACAGCCACCTTGACGGAAGTCAGACCAATCTTTTCACCTATAACGTTAAAATTAAAAAAAAAATAACAAAGGAACTTAAATAGACTAGATTCGTTACCCATGCAACTTCTAGATCCATCCGAAAACGGCATGTAGGTTCCTGCTTTGATTTTGTGGCTATTGAATTCCGAAAATCTTTCTGGATCGAATACATCCGGATTTGGAAAGTATTCTGGATCATTCTGAATGGCGAATGATGGAATAAACAAAGTAGTACCTTTTTCTATTAAAAAGTTTGTAGTTGGCACTCTATAATCTATCGTACATTCTCTGTTGAATACTGCTACTGGGGGATATTCGCGTAATGTCTCTAAAATAAAAGTGATTTAAAATAGTAAGTATATATAGTTTGTTCATAAATATAAATAACGACTTTTTACACCTTCAAAATACACTATTAGTGTGACGTAATATTGTGTTCCAATGACAGTTAACTTTTAACCAAAATAAACCATTCTGTCATTGAATTTGACATAAACGTTTTTAATTTTTTATATTGTTTGTAAGTCATAAAGAATAAGTAAGTGATAATAATGGCGGATTTATTCGTTAATGCCTTTTGAGCCTGCTGATAAATCTGGCAACGTTGCGGGTCTAGTAATATATATGCATTAGGAATGGCGTCATACACAAACGGGACTAAAATTGCGGTTTCGCAAAGAGGCTCAGTAACATCGAAATTTCTCGATATTCAAAGGGTTTGAAGTTATATTTTCAATCTCGTGGGCTTTATAGAGCCACTATAACCTCTCTATATAAAATCTCTATTCTACCACTTTCATTTGTTAGTGTAGCACAAAAATTACGTCATCAGTAATATAGCTGTCTCATGAGTGTGATATATATTCTGTCAACATGATAGGGTGTTATAAGTTATTTTTAAACAACAAACTAATGTGCCCATCTGTGGTTCATAGGCATATACCTTTTATAACCATATCCAAATACTTCAATTCGGAAAACACCGCTTCGAAAGTGAGATTGCTGTTATTTAAGTATTCGCGAATTTCTTCTCGCAATTTGGTTTGGATTTTCAAATTTGCCGCCAATTCATATAGAGCCATTACGGTTACATTAGTTATTCCTTCGAACGCAGCTAAAAAAAATGTTATAGCTTGAGCCACCATCTTTTCGTCATCTGAAAATTAGGAAATATTATGTAAAAGACACAGTTGTGGGGAAAGTGTACATTTTGGTCAAATAATCAAGAGGACTTCTATACAAGGGAAGTACAACAAACTTCCCAGACAGCACACCAAATCCCAGAGATATCCACAGAATATCTTTTGTGGATATCCAATATATCCACAGAGAAATATTCCGTGGATCTAATATATCAAAATATCTAATGGGTATCTTCCAGAAAATACAAGAAATATAGAAGATATTCGGATATTCAGCAAAATATTTTATGGGTATCTTTAGTAGAGGTTCATAAGTAACCAATAATTATTGAATAACGTCGAAAGAAAATAGCAGAGATAAAAAATATTTTCAACACTCTGCCTTTGATTTTGCCCACTAATGAGAAAGTCGTCCTTATTAGGACCAGTGGCGCTTTGCCCGTAAGGGCACTTGGGAACGTGTCCTAGTATAATAAACAAAAAAAAATTAATTTATATTTTCCTCAATGCCTATTGTTATTTTATCTAATATTCAGCGCAAACCGCGTTGGCACGACACTGGACGACCGGACGTTGAGCGACATTCCGAGAATTCCGAAATTAAGTGGAAGATAGACACAGTGAATGTGTGCCTCTGTTGTTTTCTCTCTCATTATGATGCGAAAAAAAAAGACAACGACATTATCGCTTAGCAAGAGATGAACACATGCGATGGATTATACGTCACAAGCAGGGCGCTGTCCCACATAATTTGATTTTGCCCACTAAGGAGAGAGTCATCCTTATTAGGACTCTTCAGCAATAAATGAAAATTCTCGACTCTAATGGAGTGATTAGGACAAACATTTCGATCGAACTCAATTACGGCGGGTCGAGCATGAGTAGAAGCGATAGTGGTATCGCCATCTATACTTAGTAAGCAGAATCAAATAACATCTAGTGGATATCCACGATGGTTTGCGTTCGCGCCTAGACTTTGATATATTTAGTGGATGTTCATATTGAATACACCTTAAAAAAATTAATTTTAAATATCTGAACGGTACTATTAGCCACAATGGCGAGCACAATGGCGAGCACAATGGCGTAATTTTTTAATAATTTGCTATATAATTACTATTATTTATGGACATTTGCATGTCTATAAATTACATTTCATGGATATAAAATAGATATCTACCATGGACTGGACATTCAGTGGATATTGGGATGTTCAGTAGATATCCAAAGGATTTGGTGTGCTGTCTGGGTTGACAAAATAAAATTAACACTAATGACATAAGAGGTATTTTCTAATTATCCTTCCTCCATGGTATTTTCCTTTGCATCGAAAGTGTAGCCCTGAGCTACGTCACTTCTGAAAATATCATTCTAGCCATACAATTTGTATAAATGGAACGATATTTTCAGAAGTGGTGTAGCTCAGTGCTACACTTTCGATGCAAAAGAAAAGACTTAAGAAATCGTGTTACATAAAGAGGCTGTTTTTTTGTTTAATTTTTGTTTTTCTTATCTACTTTTATGCCATTTACATATCATGTTGTACGTTGTACCCGTAAGGCAAAAAAGACTTTTAGTTTAGGGTATTTTACATCTATGAAGGTTGAAAACATTTATCAATATCAGTAGCTGTCGATAATGTCAAAACACAAGCGTAGCATTGCGATTTATTTTTTTACTGTTAATAGTCTGTTTGTGTTTCTCCCGATTTCTTTAAACATTTTTTTTCATTTGGTTTTATATATTTATGTCAAATGCAAAAATGCTGCTGCTACAAATACAAGTTACATACACTATACAACCATATACAATACCAGTTACGTTATGCCCATTTATGGTTACGTCTGTTTTCTACCATCAACATAACTGACAGCTGACACTGACAAATTTTTTCAACCTATAAATGTAAAATACCTTAAACTAAAAAGTCTTTTTTACCCTTACGGGTACAACATGATATATAAATGGCATTAAAGTATATAAGAAAAACGAAAAAGTAAACTAAAAAAACAGCCTCTTTATGGGTGCATTCGGAAATGCTCTAGCTCTAGCTAAAAAGCTTTCGGTTTGCCGCCATTTTCAGCTAGAGCTAGAGCATTTCCGAACACACCCAAAGTGACCCGATTTCTTATGTCATTAGTGTCAATTTTATTTTGTTAAGGACCGATTCCACCGTTGTGTTAAACGAAGTTTAAAATGACATTTTTACATTAACAAAGTCATTTTAATCTCCGTTTAACACAACGGTGGAATCGGCCCTAAGTTAGTTGCACTTCTCTTATATAGAACTATTTTTTATAACAAAATTCTTAAACATGCCTAATTCAATATGTTCTCTTTCCTCTCTTCTCCATTTCATCAAAATTCCAACCAAATCCTGTCTAGTGTTTTCGTTTTCTTTTCTTTTTAATACCGATTGGAAGAACACTTTCTTAAATTCTGATTCAGATATTGGATCGATTAGCTTCAGTTTTAACAAATTCACCAATTTCGGGTACAACAAGTACGCTGCTAACGAAATGCCTCTTTTCAAATTGATGAAATTGAACAAATCGTGAGCCATTTTCAAAATTTTCGAATTTTCGTTCCTTAAAAAAGAACCGGTTGAAATTCATTTATTTCTGAAACACCCTGTATATAATTTATGATTGCAGATCGGCAAGAATAGCAAAAGCCGCGAGATGCACTATGTCTATTTTTATGTATGAGAGAGTATTAAAATAATAAAGCGTTCGTAATCCATAGGCGTAACACTTCTTTTAGTAGACAGTTAAAATATTTTTGAAGTTATTCCTCGAGTATACACTTATATTTTCACCTAATTAACCTGCTTATAACTTCTAAACAGCTGAAGGTAAAAAAGAGCAATTTTTTCTAAAATGTTTTATTTTTCCACAAGGTATGTTAAGAACATTGTGTCAAACGGGTTATGTAGGTATAAGGGTTTAAACTTTGACTTTTAAACAACGTTACGTTCATAAATAATAATTTTAATATAAAAACTACTTCTTACCTACAAATCCAAATCAGAATCGAAATCAGAAGATGAACTGTCGCAACCAATATTTACAATGAGTAGCTCGATCATTTCATCAGTAATATTGTCCAACTTCCACATTTTCTCTTCTTCTTTAATCGTATGATTTACTGCCTTTTCCCAGTTTTCAGGCTTCACATTATTTACAGCCTCCAAAAACAACTGTTTAACATCACTCATTTTAAAAGAATTATTTTTCTTGAAACTTCTCCCTTTATCTGTGCCCATATCAGTTCAATCGGGTTTACTTCGCAATGATACGGTGGTGATCTAACCACCGTCATCCCACGATTTTTTGCAATTTCATCAATTTCATATTTTTTGAATTTCTCTTTATGAAGGGAACACAAATGATACAGTTCTTTTCTCACAGAACCGGGATGGAACTTAATATTCTTTGAATTTAGCCAATTCCGTAAATCTTTTTTTAACCACTTGGTTGTGGGCATTTTTTCTATGTCTCGAGTGATAACTTGCATTATCCATTACTATTATACAGTTCTGAGGAAGAAGATCTATAATTTGTTCGAACCACTCTTTAAAGACATCAGCATTCATGTCCTCATGGTAGTCACCGGTACGAGTAGATTCAAAAGTCAATAAACCACCTTTAACAAAACCGTTTGAACTACCGATGTGTACTATTATTAGTCTGCACCCCTTTCCTGATGGTGGATTTAAACCAGTAGATAAATTATTTAAAAAAGCCTGTCTTCGACTTGTAACAATTTCATCTTGCCAAAATTTATTTGGTTTATGTCCCTCGTTGATCCATGTTTCATCTAAATAAAATATATTTCTTCTTTGGTTTCTCATTTCTTTTATAGTCCTTGGGTAATTTCTTCTCCATACTACAATATCGCTTCTTTCTATTAAAATAGACTTTTCTTTTCTAAAGAAGAACGCATGCACTTTCCTTCGAAGTCTTTCTTTCAAAAGATTTTCTAATTGAAATTTTGGTTTTCCTGGAGCTTTACGTGCTGTTTGAAACTCGCCACATTTATCTTCTTTAACAACTCTGTAAATCGTAGATTTCCCAACACCAAGCGTACTACTAACTAATTCCATTGTGTCATCAACACTTTTACATAAATGTTTGTCTGTAAATGATTTAAAACAATTAAATATTAATGTTTTTTCATTAACTGTTAAAGGACCGATTTTTTGTCGTTTACGCGGCCCTTCCAAATTTTCCATGATCACACTAGAATTCACACTGCACCTTGCAAGTTGCAACTAAACGACATTTAGTAAACTGTCAAGAATACACAACTTGGACCTCCTTACTAAATGGAAAACCTATAATCGCATTTTCGGTGTTTGTTGGGAAGGTATTTATCTACTTATAATTCGATTACTGTAAGAAATTCTTGGAATTAAAATAAAACAAAATTGGCAAATAGGTACTTATTGAAAATAATCTTAAGATACGGCTATGTAATCTTTAATACACACGGCTTTTGGCCTGTCCAAACCTTTTTCTATTGTTCTGTACAGCTTATGTTTATAAAGGACCAATAAAAGACCCAAAACTTGTAATAGCTCAGGTACATTTATTACAATTTTAGGAAATATTTAGATTATTCTGTAAAAATATTTAAAATGACCGTACCGTAAGTTTTGCATTAGAAATGTTGTTTTAATACTCTCTCCTACATAAAAATAGACTATAACATAGGCACTACGTACGTACCTATATCATTGTTGATTATAAGCAGGTAGGTTTAGATTTAGCTCAGAACACCGCAGCCTATTATGGTAATAATAATAATAAAAGTTTATTTATACATATAAAATTATACAACAAAATAAAATAAAACCTGATCAAAAAACTACAAAATCCTGCAAAGTCGGAACTTTTTTTTTTAATAATGGTAGAAATTAAAAATTGCATACCTAAAACAGTTTCCCTTTGCACCCAAAGCGATAGACGTCAACATTTCAGCCGAATAACCTTCAGTCAGTTTTTTACCATTAATCAAATTCTCATTATTGTTCAATCTCGTATCCAAATATTCGATCAGTTCGTTTGATGCTTCGATTATTAGTTCAAAATAAGCGGATTTCAAAGTAGCTCTGCTAAAAGCGGGAGTATTAAATTTCCTGTACAACTTCCAATCTTTGCCCTTCATAAAAGGCACCATGTACTCGCTGATATTTCCGGCTCGGTTGGCGAAAGAGTTGTCGGTAAAATGTTGAAAATCTCTCACCAAAATGTTTCTGCTTAATTCCAAATCTTTGATCAGCAAGGCCGGTTTATCCCCTATAAAGATGCCCAAATAAGGTACGTTTGTTTCGAAATATAACTCGGCTAACACCTCGGCGAAGTTTTTCTTGAGTCGTACGACTTGTAGAAAGTTTCCAACGAGAGGAAGTGGTTTTTTGTAAGGTACGCCGCGTCGTTTCCAGTAATTGAAGTTCCTCGTGAAGAAAATGTATAGTAGAAAAAATATTATAGATGACAGTAAGAGAAGGATGTCTAGTTCTGTGCTGTTAGTTAACATCTGTAATAGTTAAAATATGTGTTTATGTTGGAATCATCATAAGTGAGATATTAATTTGTATATTGACGCGCAAGCTCATTTACTACAATGAATAAATGTTTCTTGGGGTAATTTTGATCGCCCTTATGGGGCAACTTTAATCATGATCAAAGTGACCTCGTCTAGTTTAAATAAAAAGGTACCTACCTATACAGAGTGATCAACTTATACTCCGGAATTTTATATCTCCGTTGTTTTGAGAGATACGAACAAAAGTTTTAATAACAAATTATAGATATATAGTCCAGCTACATATTTTAAAATTATTTCGTAATATACAGGGTGTTTCATAAAGTCCACAGCATAACAAAGTTATGTTTTTTTAGTGGAACACCCTATATGTTATCTCGAATTTGAATTTTGCTCATTTTCCCTATTCCGGCAATATAGGGTTTTATCAGGTTCTACAGGGTATTTTTAAAGAAATGGCAACTTTTATGTGAAAATCATAATGAAATCGTCACCCTGTATTATTTAGAATCAACAATTTTAGGCTCTTGAAATAATATAAAATATCTCAAAAAAATTGCTGTTTAAAAAAAACGAGGTGCTCTATTAATTTTCTAAAATTATAATTTTTTTTTCTAAATATTTCAAAAGCCTAAAACTAGCTTTAAAGTCTGCAAAAAGTGGCAAAGTTTCTCGGAATGTCTTAAGAGCCTAAAAATGTGTCACATTTGTTTTTGGAGAATATTTTTAAAAGACGAGGTGCCCTTCTGGCTTCATTAGAAGTTAGCAGAGCATCCCGTATTAAAAAAAAATAGGGAACCTTCTACCCTTGATCTACTACTTACCAATGATGAACAACTCTTAACCCCCCCATCTGTGTATCTCCCATCAGTTGGAATATCTGATCATGCAGTCATAACGTGTGTCGTTTACAATTTCAATCATTCTCTTCTTGCACATCCAATCACACTATCTTCTCATTCACAAACTTTGCTGAAGTTTTTTCCTATCTAGACCAATTAGACTGAATTAATATTATTGCATGTGGAATATCTTTCAAAATACAGTTAATGATTGTGTAAAATCTCATACTAAAACCAAAATAAACAGAAGAACAAATCTGCAACCCTGGATAAATAATCAACTGCTGTCTATGGTAAAACATAAGAAACACTATGAAAACATTTAAGCGAACCACCAATATGAACGATTTCTCTGCTCATCGACTATTCTCCAATCAACTAAAGGCCGCAGTTATTGAAGCAAAATATAACTATCAGGAGTATATCGTTAACTGTGCTGATAGCAAAAAGTTCTATAAATATGTTAGAACAAATCTGACATCCAAAGTGTCCGTACCTTTTCTACAAAAAGAAAACGGAGATAAGTGTGCCAACAATACTGAATTTGCTCAACTTCTTTCTGACACCTTCTGTAATGTCTTCACCCTTGAAGATATGACATCACCACTTCCGGATATTTCACTAAACAGAATACAGGCCTCTATTTTCAACGTATCATTTGACCCAGACATAATAAAAAACAAACTTAAGATGCTTAAGTCCAACTCTTCGCCAGGCTTAGATGGTATCTCCTTTTTTCTTTTATAATCTTGTGCTGACACTCTCTGTTATCCTATTTCCCGTATAATGACGCATGTTATAGTCCAGTCTTTTAATATTAAAGTAATGTACTCTCCAGAAGCCTTTGCGTCAAACTCGTACATTTTTCTTGATTAAATTACATGAATTGGTTCCAAATCGATTTATGAGTTTTGACTTTATTAATTGGAATATTGTTTATTATTATCTATTATCTACACTATCCGTCGAAAAACCTCCAAGCCTGTGCGTTTTGCATATGTTTATTTTTCAAATAAAATTAAAGTTGACAGATGTAAAACACTCAGGTTTGTTTAAAGGTCCGGTCTACTAGAATATTGTACGCTTTTTGTAAATAAATTTAATATAAACGTCAGAACTAAATAATTTTAAAAGACATTCTGATTAATTGGTTATACTTTCATTACTAAGCGCCATAAAGTAGTTATGGAGAATATAGTTTTAGACACCGAAAAATTTATTAGTTTGGTGTAGCCTAATCCCTGTTTATGGGATCAAGGACACACAGATAACTTTTTCTTAATATACAATGTCACAAATAAAGTGCGCGTCATATGGGATGTTTCTTTTCTAAATTATGTTGATAAATTTTTACTTTGCCATCATTTGTTGCTTCAAATGATAATTCAAAAATCTACGCACGGCACTGCGACTATTTTAGTACTGATTGAAGATATTCGTGAATTCGATACAGCAGCCCAAGTTTTCGACTGCGATTCTGTATCTCGGATACATACTGTATCTTCGTTTGAAAGAGGGCTTATGCCGCGTTTGAAAATCCACATCCGATGCATTTTTTTACATTTCGAGCGTTTGTTTATCCACATCGGACACATCTGTCCCAGTACATTTGCCGCGTTTGAGAATCCACATCGGATGCATTTTTTACATCTCGAGCGTTTTTTTATCCACATCGGACACATCTGTCCCATTACATATGCCGCGTTTGAGAATCCACATCGGATGCATTTTTTACATCTCGAGCGTTTTTTTATCCACATCGGACACATCTGTCCCATTACATATGCCGCGTTTGAGAATCCACATCGGATGCATCTGAGATGTTGTGAATTTTTTATCACGTGATAAAGAATTAGATCTGAATGTAGATGTAATAAACAAACGCTCTAGACTTTATTTGGTCACGTGATAAAATGTCAATGACAAGTTAGAAGTTTATACTTATTACATTTGACTTTTGAGACTACAAATCAACCTAAATTTGAAATATATACAAAAATTAAACAAACTAATCACTTTTATATTCATGCTAGCATAAACAAAGGAAAAATTGACAAACAAGGCTTCACCGAACACTTACTTTCTAGCATGGAACGAACATCTCATTCACATCTCATTTCAAATCGAGATGTAAAAAATATAATCTGAACAGGTACATCTGGGATAAACAAACGCAGATGTAGATGTAGTATAGTCTATTTTTATGTATGAGAGAGTAATAAAACAGCATTTCTAATGCATCGGTCATTTTAAATATTTTTACAGAATAATCTAAATATTTCCTAAAATTGTAATAAATGTACCTGAGCTATTACAAGTTTTGGGTCTTTTATTGGTCCTTTATAAACATAAGCTGTACAGAACAGTAGAAAAAGGTTTGGACAGGCCAAAAGCCCTGTGTATTAAAGATTACATAGCCGTATCTTAAGATTATTTTTAATAAGTACCTATTTACCAATTTTGTTTTATTTTAATTCCAAGAATTTCTTACAGTAATCGAATTATAAGTAGATAAATACCTTCCCAACAAATTTCACCGAAAATGCGATTATAGGTTTTTCATTTAGTAAGGGGGTAAAAGTTGTGTATTCTTGACAGTTTACTAAATGTCGTTTAGTTGCAACTTGCAAGGTGCAGTGTGAATTCTAGTGTGATCATGGAAAATTTGGAAGGGCCGCGTAAACGACAAAAAATCGGTCCTTTAACAGTTAATGAAAAAACATTAATATTTAATTGTTTTAAATCATTTACAGACAAACATTTATGTAAAAGTGTTGATGACACAGTAGAAAATAGTTAGTAGTACGCTTGGTGTTGGGAAATCTACGATTTACAGAGTTGTTAAAGAAGAGAAATGTGGCGAGTTTCAAACAGCACGTAAAGCTCCAGGAAAACCAAAATTTCAATTAGAAAATCTTTTGAAAGAAAGACTTCGAAGGAAAGTGCATGCGTTCTTCTTTAGAAAAGAATTTCCGACAGTAGACAAAGTTCTTGCCACGGTTCGAGATGATAAGGATTACCCTGAAATGAGTCGAAGCACACTATGGAAACTTTTAAAACAAATAGGTTTTCTATGGAAAAAGCATTCCAGAAAGTCTATTTTAATAGAAAGAAGCGATATTGTAATATGGAGAAGAAATTACCTAAGGACTATAAAAGAAATGAGAAACCAAAGAAGAAATGTATATTATTTAGATGAAACATGGATTAACGAGGGACATAAACCAAATAAATTTTGGCAAGATGAAACTGTTACAAGTCGAAGACAGGCTTTTTTAAATAATTTATCTACTGGTTTAAATCCACCATCAGAAAAAGGGCGCAGACTAATAATAGTACACATCGGTAGTTCAAACGGTTTTGTTAAAGGTGGTTTATTAACTTTTGAATCCACTCGTACCGGTGACTACCACGAGGACATGAATGCTGATGTCTTTAAAGAGTGGTTCGAACAAATTATAGATTTTCTTCCTCAGAACTGTATAATAGTACTGGATAATGCAAGTTATCACTCGAGACTTATAGAAAAAATGCCCACAACCAAGTGGTTAAAAAAAGATTTACAGAATTGGCTAAATTCAAAGAATATTAAGTTCCATCCCGGTTCTGTGAGTAAAGAACTGTATCATTTGTGTTCCCTTCATAAAGAGAAATTCAAAAAATATGAAATTGATGAAATTGCAAAAAATCGTGGGATGACGGTGGTTAGATCACCACCATATCATTGCGAAGTAAACCCGATTGAACTGATATGGGCACAGATAAAGGGAGAAGTTTCAAGAAAAAATAATTCTTTTAAAATGAGTGATGTTAAACAGTTGTTTTTGGAGGCTGTAAATAATGTGAAGCCTGAAAACTAGGAAAAGGCAGTAAATAATACCATTAAAGAAGAAGAGAAAATGTGGAAGTTGGACAATATTACTGATGAAATGATCGAGCCACTCATTGTAAATATTGGTTGCGACAGTTCATCTTCTGATTTCGATTTGTAGGTAAGAAGTAGTTTTTATATTAAAATTATTATTTATGAACGTAACGTTGTTTAAAAGTCAAAGTTTAAACCCTTATACCTACATAACCCGTTTGACACAATGTACCTTGTGGAAAAATAAAACATTATAGAAAAAATTGCACTTTTTTACCTTCAGCTGTTTAGAAGTTATAAGCAGGTTAATTAGGTGAAAATATAAGTATATACTTGAGGAATAACTTCAAAAAATATTTTAACTGTCTACTAAAAGAAGTGATACGCCTATGGATTACGAACGCTTTATTATTTTAATACTCATACATAAAAATAGACTATAGATGTATCCGATGTGGATAAAAAAACGCTCGAGATGTAAAAAATGCATCCGATGTGGATTCTCAAACGCGGCAATATACGTATATTGAATCACGTGATCAAAGATTTACTATATCTCAGATGCATCCGATGTGGATATTCAAACGCGGCATTAATCGTTTGTTTTCGCGCAATTAGGTATATGTTCGGTGTCGATCTTTCGGATTTATTTGTATTAAATAATGACCTGCGCCTACGTGGGCACATGTTCAAATTAAAAAAGAAAAATTTTAACTCTAGAGTTAGGCAAAATTTTCTTTCAAACTGAGTTTTCTCTGTATGGAACAATTTACATGATAACGTTGATTGTGCACCTTCAGTTTAAATTCAAATTTGATTTCTTAGGCTCAGTATGTATATATCTGTATATAGAGACAATAAATTATAATCACAACAAATTAGTAATGTAACTTAACGTAATTTATTATCTTTCTTTATACTTTAATTTTTTTTTAAATTGTTTATGTTTAACTAAATTTTTTTTGAATAATATGAACTTTATAGGACTTCGGTTCTCAGCTCACTGTCAGTGAATAATAATAATAATAAGTTTTAAAAAACCAAGGTTCTCGGATACCAAAAAATAGCATTTTTTTTTCGAAATGTTTTATAATATTTCAAGAGCTTACAAATATGGTGTAGTTGTTTTTAATAAAAAAAAAATATCGAGTTGGTCAGATGACTTTGTTTCTAGCAAAGCCCCTTATAATAATTAAAAATATCAATTCTTTTAGAAACGTTTTACAATAATTCAAAACTTAAAAATGTGAAGTGGAACTAAAAAACCGAGGTGCTCAGCTGACTTTGTTCCAGAATATTTCAAAAATACTAAATTTTAATGGAAAGTTGTTTAATATTTCAAGTGCTTAAAAAAATAGCTTAAAATACGGTGTGGTCATTAAAAAAAAATCTTTAAAAATCGAGGTGCTCTGCAGTCATAGAACAGGCAGTTCCCGATCGATCTGGAAACTAAGAGTGTTCTGGAACAGAGCTGGCTTTATATAAATAGCACGAGTTTGTCGACGGAAGATAAGATTCAATTTAAGTGTTGGACAGTAAAGACAAATGGTAATAAATAAGTTGGAATTGTGAGTTAGTGCCTAAGGGTCGATTCCACCGTTGTGTTAAACGGAGATTAAAATGACATTGTTAATGTAAAAATGTCATTTTAAACTTCGTTTAACACAACGGTGGAATCGGTCCTTAGTATTATATAAATTAATTAGCACTTTATAAATAAATTGTAAATAAAGTTCAGTGCATACCTTTTCCCACATTGTCGTACCTACACATGCAGCGATTGTAATGAAACTAAAAAATAGAAGACGAAACGTCCTCGAATTAAAAAAAAACAAATGCGATTATTATTATTAATTATAATAGTTTATAATGAACTATGATTGAAATAGTTTGAATTAAAAAAAAAATAAGTAAGTCACCGATGTTTTAAAGTAAAAATTCTTCAATGTATACAATTAATCAACAATAATTCAACATAGGTATACAAGGTGTACCAATAAAGAGTGCTTTATATTGTAAATTTATAGATTATAGATTTCTATAATACAAGGATTTATCCCATTTACATTTTTAATACAATTATAGTCACATTTATAGATTTTTCACCCTCAGATTACTTTCTATAATCTAAGCTGAAACCTTTCTCTCCACTTGTTATTAAGTTTCACCTTGACATCAAAAATTTTCAAAAAGTCAATGATGAATAACGATTTAAACAATTTAATGTAGATACCTAATAGTCAAATTTATAGGTCTTGAAAAATATGTTATATACCTTGTTGTTACTTTACTCAAATAAATAACAAATTGCCTAGAAATCTGCCTGTTAGCTATATGCGCAACTAATAGGATACAACTTTGCATAAACACAGTAACTCGATCTGGATACTTACCTGAAATTGTATCGTCAAATTGGACTTGGAAAAACGTTAAAATGAAGAATTTAATAAAACAAAACGATTTCAACAAAATATTTTAATAAAAAAAAACACAAATTACTTTTATAAATATATAAAAAAATCTACAAAATGGACGAATTTGGTTTTGGACGGAACACATTTCCATTAGTCGATATAAAGTCTTAATAGTTGATAAAAGTAAAAATAAACATTTTTTTAATTTCTAAATTAATCATAACATAATTTCTAACCCCTGTCCAAAAGTCCTTTAATTATTATACTACGATTTCAAAATAATAGACAGTGGGACAATTTCAGGAATTTCTAATAGAGTTATGGCAACTCGAAAGAAGAATTTCTTGCGTTATAAAAATTATGCAAAAAAAATGTTTAAAATACATAATTGTAACTTATCACAATAATGTATCGTACTTAAAATTATTTTATTCTTATTTGAATGTAAAAACAAAAATATAGAGACCACTTTAAAACTTAATAAATTATACGCAATTTGCTTCACATTGACAACACAGCTAGGCCATCTACTAGCTGTCGATCAGTTGCCATGTGCTTGGGAATTTGTTTTCTCTCGCATTTTTTACCATGCAATAAAACGGCGACGTTTGAGTCACATTTTTTGCAGATAAATATAATTCCAGGTAAATTATTTTGTTTATTTTCTTTTGAAATTCTTTAAACGTCATTTAAAATTAATTAGGAGTTCCTAGCTGTACCAATCCTTGTGCGAAATGGCATTATTTTACGAAAGCGAACATTTTTCAGATTATACAGTAGATGAAGCAGTAAAATTTTGCGGTAAATTAACGAAAGTTAAACATTAAATTAGCCCTAAAAATTTTGAAGTGATGAAAAGTTAGAAGAAAAGATCAAAATAAGAATAAATTGAAAATAATTATAAAATTGGGAACGGAAATAAAACAACTTAAAAATGAAATGGTAAACTTACGAAAATCAAATGTAGATCCAGTTAGGCTATTCAACGAAGCTCCAAAAAATGTTTCAACAACAATCTCGGTACAAGAAAAACATGCCGAAAAAAGACAAAATGTACCAATAGTTCATTCAAAAGATTTCATAATAAAATTATTAAAACAAACCTAGACAAAAACACAAACTCTCTAATCTCCCAAGCCCAAACGAAACAAGATGGCACCAATTCGTGTGCCAATAATAACAACTTAAAACATCAAGATAAATTTAAATCAATCAGAGGGACAAATGATAAATTACCTGATACAATCAAAGCATACTCAAAAGACTTGACTTCTAAAGCCAATCTGTTTATAAAACCATTCTCTTTAGATACTAATGTTTTAGAAATTCAAAAATACCTTAGAGATACACTTGAATGCACCGACATTACCTGTGAAGAACTAAATCCAGATTCAAAAACAAAAACTTACAAATCTTTTAAGATCACTGCAAACCAAGAAACAGAAAACGGTTTATGGCAAGAAAACATTTGGCCAAACGGGATCACGGTAATGCCTTTCAACTCCAAACCACATCATCATGGAATAAACACCAATAATCACGAGACAAGGAATAAATGAATCAAAATTTAGAAGTTACCAATACCGACGAAACAGAAATTTCCATTCTCCATCAAAATGTACAATGTATTAGAAACAAAATACTTCAATTAGACAACCTAGTTAATAACATGACAAACGTAAAAATTGTTTGCTTTTCAGAACATTGGCTGTTTTCTAACCAGGCGACATGTTTCAATCTTACAAATTTTAATAACCTTTTGTAAAGAAACACATATCCATGGTGGGGTAAGTATACAGGGTGTACCAATAAAAACTCCCAGGCCGGATATTTTGGTAAGTAATAGATATTTTAATTCTGTAAAAGCCAGTTCATAGAGCGCTAAGAGATCTTCAGTTTTAGATATAAATTGATTTTAAATAGGTCAATATGTAGATGGCGCTGCGCTCAATAATTATTTTTCGATGGGAGGATCTTTCTTATGTAGCGCATCTTGTAAAAAATGCATTTTTAAGTTAATTTTGTTCTATGAACTAATTCGATAAATCTAGCCATTTTTGATATACAGAGTGGGTCATTCAAAACAGTTTCATCCTGTTTTTCGGAATTATTCATTGTATTTTTGCAAAATGCTAAAACAGGTCGATTTTTATTCTAAATTAAACACATTTTTGCAATACAGACATCTGTCATGTGTCAACCTCCTCCCTTCCACTTCTCCAACCCCTTAATTTTAAATAAGGAATGTACCATGTACGGCACATCATTAAAAAGGTAATTTTATGGGGAAGTCATAAATATGACAGTTTATTGCGAAACTTTTAATTTTAGCGCCCTCTATCGGGATAAAAAATCTGTAACGTATTTTAAAGTGTGACACTTCATTTGAAAGCTAATTTAAATACTAATTCAATGCGCCACATAACATTAATATAAATATTTCCATATTGCACTTGCAACAAAATAAAGTTAGCAATAATGTTTAAAATAATGCATGACTAATTTTTAAACTATTGCAAGTGCAATGTGGATATTTATAATAATATTGTTATTAATTAATGTTATGTGGTACATTGAATTAGTAATTAAATTTGCTTTCAAATAAGGTGTCACACTTAAAAATACGTAGTTTTTTTCTCGATAGAGGGCAGTACAATTAAAAGTATCACAATGGACAGTCATATTTCTAAATTCCCCATAAAATTACCTTTTTAATGATGTACTACACATTGTAGTATCACACTCTACAATACGTAGTAGTTTTTTATCCCGCTAGAGGGCGATAAAATTTAAGTAACGTAATTTACAGAAATATTTCTGAATCCCCCATTAAATTACCTTTTCAATGATGAGCCATACATGATACATTACCTATTTAAAATTAAGGTGTGGAGAAGTATAAGGGAGGGGGTTGACACATGACATATGTCTATATTGTATAAATGTCTTTAATTTAGAATAAAAATCGACCTGTTTTAGCATTTTGCAAAAATACAATGAATAATTCCGAAAAACAGGATGAAACTGTTTTGAATGACCCACTCTGTATATCAAAAATGGCTAGATTTATCGAATTAGTTCATAGAACAAAATTAACCTAAAAATGCATTTTTTACAAGATGCGCTACATAAGAAAGATCCTCCCATCGAAAAATAATTATTGAGCGCAGCGCCATCTACATATTGACCTATTTAAAATCAATTTATATCTAAAACTGAAGCTCTCTTAGTGCCTTGTGAACTGGCTTTTACAGAATTAAAATATCTCTATTACTTACCAAAATATCCGGCCTGGGAGTTTTTGTTGGTACACCCTGTATACAGGGTGTTAAAAAAAAAGTGTCACAAAATAAAACGGGGGGTAGTATGGGCCAAAATATGCAGAAAAGTCTTAATAAACATATGTCCGCAAATGAATGGTTTCAGAAATACGGAGTGTTTTGTATCATTTTTTGATTATCTTTTTTCATTCTCAAAAACTTGCTTTTCTTATCGGAGTCTACCGATGTTTTTTCATAGATACTATTTGCAGTTATTATTTTGTTGTGGGTGAATAATTTTATAAATTTTCGTTATGCCTGTTTACACTAATATTGAATTAGCTGACATGCATTTTATGTACGGTCGTGCAAATGGCAATGCGAGGGAAGCGCTACGTCTGTATTTGAACATCTCATTTAACTCTATGTTGTTATTGATTGTTTATAAATATCATTGTTTTTTTATAATAATAAAAAATTGTTATAAACACAAAATGATCCGTATCTCCGAAACCGTTAATTTGCGGTCATATATTTATTAAGACTTTTCTGCTTATTTTGGGTCATACTATTCACCATTTCATTTTGTGACACTTTTTTTTAACACCCTGTATATTCACAACACTTTACAAAGCGCTGAGATTCCAGAAATTAAGAATATGTCAAAAGAAATCCACTGTGAAATAACTGGGGCGTTTATTAAAAAGCTTAATCTGGTGCTCATTGTTATATATAGGTCCAATTCGCAATATTCCAATTTTGAAATATTTCTTACAATTTTAACAAAAGTTTTATTACTATTAAAAGCTAAACACAAAAATAGTAGAATCATTATATGTGGGGATTTTAATGTAAAATTTTTAGAACCTGATAGCAAAACAAGACAACTCACCGACTTGTTACTTCAATTTAATTTTGAACAAACAATATTTACATATACTCGTATTACAGAGAGCTCTCAAACATGTCCAGACAACATATTTGCTAACTTTCCTTTTGCTCAGACATCCATGTTAAGGACCACAGAGTCAGAGCATGACCCTCAATTATTAACTTTCCTAAATCATGAGCTCTCCATATTAGGAGATATAACTCATTTTAGATCCTTCTCTCAAAATAATATAAATATTCTTCTGCAAAATGAAACCTGGCATGACATGAGAAAAGCAACCAATGCAAATAAAAAAGCTGAAGCACTTCATGAAACATTTTAATGCCTCAATTCCAAATATATCCCAACCTAAAAGAAAATGTAATAAAAACTTGAGTTATATGAATACAGATGAAATAAAAATACAAAAAGAACTAATCTCATTTTTACAGGACATCATTAAAAACAAACCAACCGACTACAATAAAAAATTATATAAAGAAGAGAAAACTAAATACAATGTATTGCTAAAAAATGCAAAACAAAATAACTTAACTTACTTTAACAAATTAATAATTGAGACAATAAATCTAAAACATTATGGCAAATAATAAATAATGAAACAGGACGTAATAATAAAAATAAAGTAGAATCTGAAATCGATATAGAAACCTTTAAAAAATATTTTGTAAATCATTCATCTGATATAGTAGAAGGCATCCTCAATAACAATAAAATTGACTTGTTATACTTGTTATAACCGAAAACATCAATCACTTTTTTTAGCTCCTTTTACTGAATCTGACACCATAGATATAATACAAAACATCAAATCAAAAAGAACTCAAGATATATATGAAATTAAATACCTATTTATTAAAAAACTGCGCCCAAAATATTGTTGTTCCTATTACTGAATTGATAAACTGTTGTTTAACTGAAGGTACCTTTCCAGATATTTTTAATACGTCAAAAGTTTTACCATACCACAAAAAAGGAGATGACTCAGTACCTGAAAATTTTCGTCAAATACATATTTTACCATGTTTTTCTAAAATACTTGAAAGTGTTATAGTAAAACAAATTGTGCATTTCTTTGAAAACAACAACCTGTTTTCTGCGGAACAATATGGTTTTAGACATGGGAGAACAACTACAAATGCCATGCTTGCTTTAATGAATAACCTTCAGGAGTCTTTAGAAAACAAATCACAATGCATAGCTGTATTCACTGATCTGTCTAAAGCATTTGACTGTGTAAGTCACACATTGTTAATCAACAAACTAGATAAATATGGCATTAGAGGCATTGCAAATAAGATGATTGCTTCTTATTTGCAAAACAGACAACAAAGTGCATATTACAGAAATAAACTTAGTAAACCTTTATTAATAAAAAGAGGTGTTCTACAAGGATCCGTACTAGGCCCTCTATTATTTTTAATATATACCAATGATCTTCCATCATATATGAATTCAAATAATGACGAATTACTAACTACCATGTATGCAGATGATACAAATTTCTCATATCACTGCAATAACACATCTGACATAGTTATCAAAAACACTAAGATTATGACTGAAGCTAAACAATGGTTTGATAGCAACGAATTATTTTTAAATCACAATAAAACTGAAACATGTGTTTTCAGGTTGAACCAAACTACTAGTGAAACAATGAACACTAAATTTCTCGGTATATATTTTGACACACAACTTACATGGAACTATCAAATAAATAACGTATGCAACAAGTTGGCAAAATTCACGTTTGCTCTACGTAGAATATCAAATATAAGTAATACAGAAGCAGGAATAACTACTTATTATGGTTTATTCCATTCCAATTTAACATATGGGAATTTGGGAAACTTCATACGATACCAGAGGGAAAAATCAGCTAATCTAAACGAAAATTAGAATAAACCAAGTTCCGAACAATAGGCATTTGATTCTATAATGCACTTTCACCCCACATCCGTAATCTACCAGGAAAAAAGTTTAAACATCAAATTAAAAAGATATTACTGGACATGTGTCTATATAACACTAACGATTATTTTGTAAGAGTGAAACATGTCACCTAATATTTTTAATATTGTATTTTTTATATTTTTTATTACTATTACCATGATCTTTTAAAATCCTATTTTATTTTAAATTTTATACGAGTATGCTGTATGTTAATATATGTAAAATGTGGTGTATTTTACTATTTATCTGTACTGACGACTATGTAAACATGTTTATATATGTATTACTGAGAATAAAATATTTCTATTTCTAATACCTCAGAGGTAGTTTGGAAATGTACCAAGAATAATAAACTTTGCTTTAATTAAAAAATGTGAAAATAATTTTTGTATTAAATTAAAATGCATATTTGTCATACATTAAAATTGCCCTACAAATTTTGGAGTGATAACAGTTGTCAGCATTCCACTACATATTCCTGAAATTTTCCCACTACTTAGTACAGATTGGCTATGGAGAAATATATAGTAAACTCAACAACCAAAGACATTTTGAACACCCCTATTTTTTTAGTAAATAATATATTATGTATTACAGTCATATTTCTATAAAATTAATTGAAGTATTATAGGCATATTTAAATATTTATTATTGCATAATGAACTTTAATATTATAATAGATAGTACTATTTGTATCAATTTTATTAAATATAAAGAATTATTAATATATACCTATTCAAAATTATAAAAAATGTAAAAGAACTTTTTTTTATAGTAAAGGCACGAGTAGGTATAAAAATGAACATTTAAAATATAAATCAGCAGATGGATTTAAAATATAGATACAATATTTCCTATAAGCTGTGCAATATTTAAAATGCATTTAAAATATAGCCAACATTGCGATATTGCTGACCCAGAGAAAAAAATAATTTTGTTGGATATATACAAAAGGCCTTTTCTGACCTTACTTGTTTTTTGTTAGTTATTCATTTCCTTCAAATCTACTTGCTGGTCCAAATGTCCTAGTATCTATCCTCAAAAAATTTAAACTTATATGAAACTGCATTTATTTTACATTCACAGTCCCTTTGAGAATTTTAATTTACAGAGTCTGGAGAATGATCTCCAAACCCAAAGTCTTTGGGCCAAAATGAGTGTTGGCAACCCATAGTGAAATGTAGAATTGTTCAAAAAATAAGAAAACTTAAAACAATGAGATTCAATCAGAGATTGTTCGACTCGCAGCATCGATTTTCAAAACTTTGTACAAAATTAAATGACTTTAAACCCACATCCAACTTATCGCACCATCAGAAACAATAAGAAGGCAGATATAGCTCCCCACAAAAGAAGGGGCGAAATTCGTAAATGTGAGGAAGTGTTGCAGCCATCTTTCGTATTGCAAGTACAATATTCCATAAATATATTGTAAGTGCCAGTACGCATCAAACAAAATCGCTCATCACCTGCTATACCGGGTTCTCCAAGGTAGGCGCAACTTCTTATGTATTTCCACACTCCATTAACTAAAAATGTATCTAATTAAAATTACTCTTTTTTTTATAAAATGCTCTCTTTACCTTTCTGTCTGATTTTCCTACACATGGTAGGAAGTACGCCCTTTAAATAGTCTAATTCTTTCAGGGTTGCACAATCTGTTATAGCAAACGTGGTGTTATCAAATGGGTCAGAACACTTAGGGTCAGCATCTGACCTGCAGTCCCAGCATTTTATCGAATAACCTATAAAAATATTATATATTTATTTCATTTATCAATATTTATAAATTATATATTCTTCTAATAATTTGCCGCCTTAAAGCCGACCTTATCCAGGGAAAGGAATTATACTATTTTTGTTTAAATGGGTGTAACCTAACCTAAAAACTATTACTGTAATAACAAAATAAAATTAAAGTTTTTGCATAAATACAGGCCCTTTAAGTGTGTAATTAAAAACAACAAAAAACTACTTAATAGTAGTTGGCATAATCGTTAATTTTTTAAATTTGATTAATGATAATGAGTGATACATACTGGGTGAGGCTTTGAAGACATTATTTTATAAATAACTCACCTGTTTGCATTAAAACTGTTGCTATCACTAAAACTGGTAGGGTAACTCTGAGAAGTACCATAATTTTGAAATGCTGTTTATTTAAAATTTAAATAAAATAAAGGTAAACAAGATTAAAAACAACACCCAATTCTAAACCACAATCTAAACTAAACAAGAAACGAACCCAATGTTTTGTGTTTTGTGAATGTGTAATGTGCAGTGTTGCCAAATGATTTTTTTTTAATTATTCAGTATTTCTAGTTATAGAACAGAAGTAAAAGTTGGAAATGCTTTTGCCAGTTCTCCCACTTTATACACATAAATTGACATGTTGCCAGCGGATCTCACCGAAGTGGACGCGATACATTGGCGTACAAATTTATTTTTTAGATGTTAATAACAATTTCGAGTAAATACTTTAATAAATTGTGAATAGCTGTTGAAATTTTGTAAAATTATAATTTGAATATTATAATACATGTTTAATAATTATTTATAATCCATAAATACATGCGATTGTCCGGTTCCGCTGATAACAATTTAAAATTACTTATTCTATGAAACGACACTGGCAGGTAAACATTACTGTGAAATTCTCGGAGCCGCCCGACTAGGTTTGACGTTTACCCCCTCTCTACCTACCAAAAGACTTTTCAACTTTTACTTTCTCTATACAACAAATGGAAAATTAATTTTATACAAGAATAAGTTTAAAGCTATAAAAAATTTGAAAAAGTTTTTATTTGAATTTTCTACTTTAAATATTTTTCAAAAACAAAGTATAAGACGAAATTAAAACAAAACCTTATCAAATATAAAAAAAAAAACTAAATGCGTCACTTTCAGATTTGTATAGTTTATTTTGAAATTTTTTTCGAAAAACCATTGAAAGGTCTATACCGAATACTAGCAGAAATTCATTAGGCTAAAATATGAGAATCTAGCCCAATTTACCCTAGTGAAAAAGTTTTAGTTATCATTTTTTTATATTTTTTCGGAAATATTTAATAGAGGTAGCATGGTTTGCACGAAATTTAGTAATTAAACGTTTATTAGGATGAGAAATCAACAGTGAAAAAGTTTACGCACGAAGCCGCGCAGCATGCTAAGAAAACGCGACTCATTTTTTGAAAAATTGTATAATGTGTTGCCGACATTTAGGGGCATCACTTTTTTAATCCAAAATGTATCTCGCTAATGCTAAAAGTCTCCTGTAGAACCTTGTAGTGGACGGGCTGCTTAGGGCTCTCAAAGATAAGGGACATAGAACCCTGGGATATGCCGATGATATAGTGATCATGGCACAGGGAAAATACAACACTATAGTAAGAGATCGAATGCAAGAGGCTCTAAATATAGTAACAAAATGGACAGAGGCGGAAGGACTAAACATTAGCCCAAACAAATCTGACATAATTGCATTCACCCGCAGGAGGAAATTGGAGGGACTAGGGCCTCTAAACCTAAGAGGTGCAAGCATCCAGCTTAAGGGGGAGGTAAAATATCTCGGGGTTATGATTGACTCGAGACTTACCTGGAACCAGCATCTAGAAAGAACCACAACCCAGACAACACACCAAATCCCAGAGATATCCGCAGAATATCTATTGTGGATATCCAATATATCCACGGGATATCAGAAATATTCCGAGGATCTAATATGGATATCCAAATGTCCGTCTATATCCAGGATATAGAAGATATTCTAATGGATATTCAGCAAAATATCTAATGGGTATCTTCCAGAAAATACAAGAAATCACAGATATATCCACAGAATATATTTTGTGGATATTCAATATATCCAATATGGATATCCAACCAAATGTTCGTCTATATCCCAGGGTATAGAAGATATTTGGATATTCAGCAAAATATTTTATGGGTATCTTTAGTAGAAAATAGCAGAGATAAAAAATATTTTCAACACTCTGCCTTTGATTTTGCCCACTAAGGAGAAAGTCATCCTTATTAGGACTCTTCAGCAATAAATGAACATTCTCGACTCCAGTCTCTAATGGAGTGATTAGGAGACACATTTCGATCGAACTCAATTACGGCGGGTCGAGCATGAGTAGATGCGATAGTGGTATCGCCATCTATACTTAGTAAGCAGAATCAAATAACATCTAGTGGATATCCACGTTGGTTTGCGTTCGCGCCTAGACTTTGATATATTTAGTGGATGTTCATGGGATATTGAATACACCTTAAAAAAATTAATTTTAAAAATCTGAATGGTTCTATTAGCCACAATGGCGAGCACAATGGCGTAATGAGAAGTTAATATTGTTTAACGCCGCCCGCTTTGCCGGTCGGAGTGGGGGGGGGGTTAGGTTTTTTTTCGTTACGGTTTCGTTTTTTTTTCTTGATTCGGTCGCCGCGCTCAAAGCCCGCGATAAAAGCTATGCAATAGCTTAAAAACACGCATAACGTGACATTCTTTAATTAAAATCACGCATAACGTGACAGTATCTTAAATGTATGGGACTTATTTTATACAATGAACTTCCGGTCTTAATAAAAAACTGTAAAAGATATATTTTATTTATGAATAAGCTCAAAGAGTTTTTAAAAACATATAATGTCTATTCTTTATGTAGAGGATTTATTTTGAATTTTAAATATTGTTTATAATTACTAGTATATAGATATTATTATTGTTTTATTTTTGACGAATCATAATACATTGTAAAAAATGATCCATAAGGAGAGCGGAAACCTCATTAATGATGGCAAGGCGATCCTTTGGAAAAAAAATGGGGGTTAAAACCAGACATGGTATACTGGCTTTATAACATGGTGGTGAGACCCATAATAACATATACGCAGCTTTGGTGTAAGGTACAAAGACTTGCCTGCCTCGGAATAACGGGGGCAATGAAAACAACCCCCACTGCTGCAATGGAAGCACTAATAGGACTCCCACCTCTTCACTATGTGATACAAGGGGAGGCAAGATTAGGTGCTTACAGATTGGGGAATACACTGGGAAATCTTGACATTAGGCCAGGTCACATGAGTATCTCAAGGTTAGTGACAGGAGACGTGCTAGACATGATATCAGACCACTTAACCAAGAGGTACTCTTTTAATACTCCCTTTGAGGTTTTAATACAGGAAAGAGCGGAGATCACCATAAGGGAGCCCAATGCCCAACGACAGGAACAAACCTGGTATACAGACGAGTCTAAGACTGCGGAAGGCACTGGGGCAGGAGTATTCTCCAAAAACCCTGATACTAACCATAGCTATGATATAGGAATACATTCCTCGGTATTTCAAGCCAAGGTATACGCAATTTTGCAATGTGCAAAAACGAACAATGAAAGAGTTGTCGAAAATCAGCATATTCAAATAATGTCAGACAGCCAAGCGGCACTTAAGGCCATATCGAGTCAGAAAGTTACGTCCAGGCTGGTATGGGAATGCATAGAAGAACTAAGAACACTGGCAGACCGAAATAGAGTAAAACTATTTTGGGTGCCAGGTCACAAAGGGATCGAAGGCATAACGAAAAGGCTGACGAACTTGCAAAAAGAGGGTCAGAAGAAACACCGGAACCAGACACAAACCCAGGAATACCAAAAAATACAGTCCGGGGTTTTATAAATGACTGGATTCGGGAACAACATATCAACTATTGGGGAAGCACCCCAAAACAGGCACATGGAAAAGCCCTCATAGGCAGACCATGTCCCAAAAGAACTGGAGAACTACTCTTAATGAATAGGAACCAGTTGAAAGTGATAACAGGGTCCATGACTGGGCACGCCCCAGTAAAGGGACACTTGAACAAAATTGGCATGTACAATGGGGAACTCATGTGCCGACTATGTCACAAGAAACCAGAAACGGCCAAACACATACTGTGCGAATGCGAAGCTCTAGATCGCAAAAGACAGGCTCTTTTTGGACAACCCCAGGTTGATCCAACAACGTATAGAACCCACTCACCCAAGGATCTGTACAAACTTGTACAAGGTACAAAGGTGATATAGAGTGGGTGCTATGAACTAACATGGGGTAAAACACAATAAGCCAATAGGCTTCAGTGTTATTCGGAGATACATAGTAAGACGAGCCCAGGAGAAAAAAAAAATGCTAAAAGTTTTTATGTTTCCTTATCAAAATGCACGCGTATATGTTATGAGTTCTCATTACGTGCATATTGTTGTTAAATGTCATTTACAAGGAATGTTGACAGTGCGATTTTTAACGTTTACTGACATGGGCGTAGAAAAAATGTTTTATTGCATACTGAAATTAAACGAATGAAAAGTATCATTAGTTATAAAAGATTTCGATTTCTAAACCTAAAAAAATCCTCAAATACCAAATTTTCTGCAAATCATGCTATTATTTGGAAAAATATTTATAAAAAAGTATAAAAAAAATTATAAGTGACACCATTCGGGGAAAACCCTATTATAAAAGAGAAATACCCTCCTAAGTGCAATAGATCTCCTGAATAATCAGTAGGTCTGGCAACATTGAACTATAATGTGTTATGCCACTATGCCACTGATACCACCTGTCAGAAGTCAGAACAGGACAGGGATTCTTATGTGCGAACGTGGTGCGAACTCAACACGTTACGTGTTGAATAGAGAGAGACATTACATAACAATCACATTCTATTGAACGAAGATAGAAGCTTCTCAACACCTGCCGAATTGAAAGATGAGAATCCCACTGCTGAGCAGCAAATATTACTATTTTGTTCGAGTTTCTTTAAAATTTGATACAGACCGTCCGATATCCAGTTGAACAGCTGAATATCAAATTATTCGTCATGTACAACTTTTAAATTGTTCACTGGTCAACTAGTCCTTATCCTTCCTCCGTGTTTGATAGTTCTCAACGTTTTTTTGAAAAACCCGAGCAAGCCTTTTATACATTTTAGAACTAGTACCTAACTAGAATTTGGGCTTCTATCTTATCTAAATAACTTTAAAATGAAAAACATTAATCATATCATTAGTGTCTAATTACTATATAAATTATAGAATTCTAAATAACTCTAAAAGAAAACATACTCAAATCATAGTGTAGTGTCTAATTATATACATTATACCTAAAAGTAGGTATGTGTACCTATGTATAATTAATTTCGAAACGCAAAAGCCTACTTTGGATAGCGATTATATAAAAAA